ACATGGCGGTATTCTGAAAGAAAGACGATACAGGAAATATGAGAAAATCTTGGCAGAGTCAAGCGAAACAAATCTTTCCTCTAAAATTATTGCTGGCCGCTTGAGCGCGGCAAGCGGTGACAGACGATGTCTTCTATTTTTGAATTTAAGAAAAACTCTTCGCAAAATGGTCACGGTTTTCCTAATTTTTGAAGTTAGCGTTACCTTCCGCTTTCGTAAGCAAAAATAGACGGGTGTCTAACAGACAAATGTCGGTTATGTTTCTGTTCAACGTTATAAAGGGATAATTTTTGAGTAATTTAGGGAAAAGACAAAATTAATGTAGGAAAAGAACAATAATACTATTGTTTTCCTTGTATAATGGATCAGAGTTAGCTGAAGTGGCAATAGGCCGGCCATACAACTCGAAGAATCAACAACCGATGGAAAGAAGGTTCTCGAGTGGCAGCCTTGTTGTGCAGCCCCCATTTTAGATCCCCGCTCCCCCTTTAGTGCGTGTGGAAGGAATATGTGGATACAGGTAGGACGGACGTATACAACCGAACAAAATATATGAGTACCCGATTCTTTTTCCGCGCAACCAATTGTGAAAAGTCAGAATGTGTCAAAAAAGGCACGTACAATTGGGTATTTTACCCATTTTCAAAAATTGTTTTTTTTTTATTAACTAAATGGATTGGCGACCTGCTTAAAAGATGCAGAAAGTCGTTCATTGCAGGTGGCTTGGGACCGTGTTTTGTAGCATTAGATGAGCATGCAGCAGTGCTGAACATAGGCCTCCCTCATGAAATGCTTGGGATTGTAATGATGATGATAATGATTTGTATAATCGTGATCAATATTATAACCAAGTTTATTTATTTATTTATTTAAGTTGGCTCGTAGATATTGTGTATATTCTATTATAACGTGGTAGAGCCACACTGCAGCACGAATGGGTCGATTCAACCGCAAAAATACCACGCTCACACAGAATTCCAGTACCAGCATGAAATGGCATGATGCTGCTATGTTGTATTTTGAGCACGAAAACCTTTAAAAAGGGTCTCTCTTCTTACTGATAACGAAGCTTCCCATCATAGGCCTAAGGGGTGACAACGCATCTACATTTTGATTGTTAATCGAGGATATAATATGTAGGTGTCTATAGACCCCAACATTCACTTGCCATCGGGTGGACTCTGTGCTCGTTTGCCACCTTTAGTTCTATAAAAAAAAATTTTGAGTTGTTATCTGGAAGCTGTATGCCCATCTCGTTCCATTTCTCTTACGATTACATGGCCTAATTTACCTATATGGTGTGAGCAAGTATTTCTAAAATCAATTTCTAAAGACGCACCTGAACTAGTTTTTTCCGCCATAAAAATGTTATTTTCGGCTGGAACCAAACGTTGTCTAACTGTTGATTACGACCGACTGTAGCAATTTTAACTGTGCACTAATTGAATGCTGTAGCCTTTAGGAGAGTTGTAAAAAATAATCAACACATTTTAATTTTGATAATTTAAAATATCAGATTGTTGAGACCCTTCGGCTGTTAAATTAAACGTAATTCTACATACTCGTACAAGTAAACCAGTTTATAATGAGTTAAGTGAGCATACGCGTTCGAAATTGGTTTCGTTTCTTCCTCTACAAAATTATCTTAAAATTATTAGACCAAATATTCGAAAAATTGCTAAAATATACATTTTATACAAACGTTTCTTTCAATATGTGAAGTCGACATAAATTATTTACAACTGTACAAAAATGCTCGCGGTCAATAAGTATATCTTATAGTGTTATTTAAAAGACTTACTAAATTTTAGACTTAAACTGTAAGTAGTATAATTTAAGATGAAACCATTCATCTCGGTATTTTTATAAGCAATAATTCAATAGACTTTGTAATTGCACACTATTTTCCTGTTGTAACAGATTAAGTACGAGGTTAAGTTAAGAATATTCGTAAGCAATAACGGTTTGCAAAATTGCTACGTCCGTCCGTTTTACTTTTACAGTTAAGCCGAACGATAAATCATTTAATTATATATTTAAAAAGTGGATGTGGTGGGGTTACCGAAATAGTAATAATGAGTTACCTTGATCGCAGCCGAGATTGTAAGAGGCGAAGGCCCTCGAACCGGTTGCAACCCGACCACTCGTACTCGCATTTTTCATGCAAAATCAACGATTAAGAGCGACGCAGTGTTTATAATGCAATCAGTCTTTATTGGTACTTTCAATACGCAAGCAATAACGAAGTCTGTCTTTCTATTATAAAAAATCTAATGTTATGTATGTTTTTAACCTAAAAATTAAATAAAGCTTTTAATTGGCACAGATTAAAAATAATAATTCTATTTATTCAATATTTCATTATTTTCTAACTTTATGAGTTGATTAAAATTTTACATAGGCCAAATATTTATTAGGTAGTTACTGTAACATATTTCAAAATGTCCATTCCACAACGATGTCAGTACCATAATGTCTGCACGGTCAGATAAAGTGGTATTTGGTTCACTGAACTGTTGGTAATACATGCGATCGACCTGATTTAAATTTTTTTTCCATTTGATGACCAGAAGTTGCATGGGCGTTGTTTTTTTTTAATTTATTGGGCATAACCTAAGTAAACCTGAACTCAGTCATTGCAACTCTAGGTATGTGGTCATCTACATAACTTTGTTACATTGGTGTAACGTCTATTGTTCCTGGTCGTATCGATGCCCGCTTCGGCTTTGCATGGGTGAAATCCATTAATATGACATCATTTAGATTTTTAAAATAATCAATAATGACTATTTGTTTGGCAATGGGCCGGCCATATAGCTCGAAGAACCGACAAACGATGGGGAAAAAAGTTCTCGAGTGGCAGCCTCGTATCGGTAGCCGTAGTGTAGGGTAACCCCCACTAGATGGAGTGACGACCTGGTAAGACATGCAGGAAGTCGATGGATGCAGGTGGCTCAGGACCGTGCTTTGTGGCATTCTTTGGGGGAGGCCTATGTTCAGCAGTGGACTTGTGACGAGCTGTAATGACGATGATGTTGATGAATATTTGTTTTATCAATATTGCAATTTCGCAAAAATATCTCGATTTTTTTCGGATATAATATAGCCTATACCACACCAGGCATTAATCTGTTTTCTTCACAAAAAGTTTATCACAATCGGTTAAGCCATTTCGAAAATTAGCGCGGACAGACAGTCAGACAAACCTTTCAAAAATGGTTATTAATGTATTTAATGTCCTGCAAATAACCCCCTATATGATAAAAGACCGTTATCAAGGTTGAGGTTTTACGGTTGAGTTTAAGAAGGTCATGCGCAGGATTTTCAGATGGTGTGACCACGAATCTAAAGTACTAGCTTGTAACAAGTTATTAATTATTTTCCTAAATATTTATATTGCTAATCATAATTTAAAAAAATCTCAAATATAATATAACACCACTAGCTTATTTACAGTGCCATGTACTAGCCAATAGTTAATAGTACAGAAATGTATGGTTAATAGTACAAACCGGTGGTTCTAAAACTTCAATCAAAGGCAGTTCGATTGCATTCGATAATATATTATATTTATTATTTATATTATATTATTATATTGTCTGCAATCACTGCTGTAGATTGTGATAAAAAAAACTCTAACAAAAAATGTATATGATTATTGTCATTATTTTTAAAACCCGCTAACTATACAACATATAAATGAATATTGAATACAACAAAAAAAAAACTAACTTGTTATGTAGCTTCGCTATGTAGCCGCTTATCGTGGAGGGAATTATTGAGGAACTCATTTAATTTTTTTATCTTCTTCCTGGTTTGCTGCATTATTATACTTTTCTTTCTTTCTTTTTTTTATAAAACGTTACCTCCACACTAGGATTTTCTCCTGTATCGTGGGGGCAGTTTACAAACATACATTTCACAAGGACAAATATCCAGACCCGGAACAATTACTTGTAGGCCATACAAATACTTGTTCCGTGCGGGATTCGAAGCCGCGGCCCTTAGCGCTGTAACTTATTGCTAAGCCACTGCGCCACGGAGCCGTCATACTGTTTATTTTATTTTAATGGTTTGGTCTCTTTCTTTTTCAATGTCTCTCATAAAACTGGAATGTTTTTCAGTATCTATATACATTTTCGCCTTCCTCCCATGTGGCCCCGGGTGGTGCCAAAATCAGTTAATGGGTTTTGCTGGCAAGAAATTATCAGTAGCAGCCTGGAATCAAGAAGTTGGCGGTGTTTCAAGCCCGTGCCTCAGAAAGCATGTAAAGCTGTTGATTCTTCGTCTGATTTCTCTCCGGTCGTGTAGAATTGCCATCCCATCAGACTATGGGAGGGAATAGATGCATAGAGCACATGTCCTCCCGCTCTATAATCCTGTTCTCCTGCGTAAATAGCGTTTCCAACGAGACTAGCCGCCATGACCGAAACTCGGTCTGGGCATTATCTTATACTGTTTGAATACTTTACAGTTATAGTCTATTATACATTTGATATACTTAATTCAAATGTTAAGCCGTGATCAATATAGTGTATGTATACTGTCCCACTTTATTTACTTTTGTCATTGTTTAAACAGCTCTGAACTAAGTATAAAAGACATAAAAATCAATAAGAAATTATGATGTTTAGCCCATGAAATCATTCACCGATTTATGTGATTTAAATTATTAAAAAAAAATTATAAATTTATTGTGTCTGTTAATAATACCTAATTATTTACTTTTAATTTCATTATAATAGAAATTAATTTGTACTGAATCAATTTGTAATGTATCTATCTATGGGGGAGGCCTATGTTCAGTAGTATAATTTTAATAGGCTGTAACCGTAAATACTTTTAACTGTAAAATTTGACTGAGATAAAACTAGCTCATTATGTATAGAATTTTTTTTGTTACATACTTAAACTAAAAAACTTATTTTAAAGATATTTTTAATTTTTATAGGTACTGTCTTGCGAATAATTTCTAAAAATGACTAGCTTTAAAAGTAAGGTTACAAACCTCGTATGTCTCTTTGCAACCCGGACGACAAAACGGAGCCGTCGGCGAGTGCCGCGTCCAATAAGTTGATGTTCTCGCGGCAACGCGTTACGATCTCCGTCTGTGCACCGAAAAAAACTCAATTCGCAAAAGAAAAAGTGGTTCAGCGCTCAGAAATCGGTTTACCGCAGTTTAAAATTATAGACATTTGTATTTTCATTCACTATTATACACCCACTATTTTTTATACTCGACAGACTCAGACTAACAAAGAAAGAGACAGAGCATTACGCACATTTCAACTGAAGCAGAAAACAATGCGTAACTTATTGTAGGAATACTTTTTTACGCACACATGCATCTAAACCCATGTTATAGATTACAAATGGTTTTAGATGCTCATGCTTGCGTGAGTGCGTGTTCTAACTTGTGCATGGTTTTCACGTCGCTTCAAATGTGCGTAATGTTCTGCCTATGTTTCGTTGATGGTTCGAGTGGACAGATAAAAATGAGCAATAGACATTCCTTAATTGCTTCTATCTAAGAAACCATGCTAAGTTTGTTTTTCAGTAAAAAAGTGCGGAAGCGAATAAAGAATCACATGCCAAACACAAATTAGAGAAGCAAGTTAAAGAGCGCCAAAGGGGGACAAAAAGATTTTAATCAATGCACATCTTATACTTCATTTCTCCGTTTTTGTGTATTTTTTTTAAATTACTCGTTCTGTTGATTGAGAAGGGTGTTAATTGACTGAAACTCCATTTTTACTTTCCAAACTGACATATTTATTGTTGTAAACAATTATACAAAGTTCACTTTAATTTTTAACATTTTGTAAAAGATCAATTAACAACCTAACCCTAATCAACATAATGATTAGTACATTTTACAAAGCTACATTGTGAGATATTGCGGAGTTCAGTCAAATCACATAAATATTAATAATATTATGCGAGACCTTATTGATTTAAAATTATATAACAAAAATAACCTTAATTTTTTTCTAAATTCATATTACACTTTAAATTATATCACGCGATGACAAGAACTCTTACTCTCGTTTCAAAATATTTATCTATATCATAAATAAAATAATTTAAGTACCATAACTAGCTAGATTTCTGATATCCGAATCGCGTTGTAAGCGTCAAACATTACATTTGACAGCTGCCATCAAAATTCACTCGTTTTTTTGTCACTGGTAACTGTTAATTAAGCATAAGGCCGCCGTTTAAAATCGCATTTAACTTGAATAGATATATGCATTTGTATTATGTTACGCGAATATATCTAAAAGTTAGGTCTGATCTAGCACCAAGTTATCACCACCAACAAAGGATAGGCAGTACTTTAAAAGAAAATAATAATAATAAGACAAGCAGTTAGTAAAAATCATAGCTACATAAATCACAAACACAAAGCCATCAAACACTGTTAGTATAAAAGAAAATTAAACAAATAAAATAAGGAAATAAAGCACACGGGACAAAATAAGTACGTAATTTCATAATCTTAGTAGTTTCACTATAAATACTTAGTTCACTTTAGTTAAAGTGAAGCTACCTGTGTTAATCCAATTTTCCACGAATGTAAGCACTGCTCAGCTAATCTTATACTAAAAAGTATTGTTTATTTACTTAAAGTTCGAATTCAAAATTAATGTCAAATATAATTTAATAAATAGTTAAAAACCTTCTAAAATAAGAACAGTTAATCAAATTGTTTTATGTGATTTCGTGGAAAATCGAATAAAAATAGATTCTTTAAGTTGAAATAATATACAAATACTTTAGAATAAGAGTTAATTAAAAGGTTTGAAAGCTGTCAAATTCTTAATTTGACATAATTTGACAGCTATCGACGGGGCTATAGTACAACACATTTTGTGGAAAAGTTAAATATTTGACTGCGTTTGTCAGACTTTAAGTGCATTTTATATAAATGCTACAATTTGTACAATATAAAACCTAACTCTATATACTTTAAATTGCTTTAAAATGGAATGCTTCAATAATACTATCGCGCTTTAATACTTCACACTTCTGCGCGTGTCGCTAATGCGTGCACAAGTGGACATTTTTAATACGCAGCCTGACAATCGCAGCGTACTTAATACGTATACTTATATAGATAAGGATGAATATCACACAAGCCCAAGCCAAATGTCATTGTAGATGTATGTAAACTATGACTAAAATTGAAAAGGCGGCTACAGCGAGACAGATTCTAGCTCTCAAACATGCGGGGCGACGGGCAGACACGCACGCGATCAAATCGTCCTCCGCCTCAGTACAACTACTATAATCTGTATCGAATTGTGTCCTTACGTAGTCGAACGCGCGGAGGAGATCCGGCGACGAATCTTGCCTCGCCATTGCCGCTTCGGCTGCTTCCAGCTGCGAACTGGACCTCCGTATAAGGGACCTGACTTCCTCAGACTCCGAATCGGAGTCTCCCTCCCAGTTCCTTCTACTATGCTTCTTAGGACTTGACGCTTCGTCCTCCGAATGCGCGCCTTCGGTTGACTTCCGTCGCAATTCTGACAAAGCTACCTTTTGTAGTTCACTCTCTCCATCCTTGTCCGTATTCTTTCTTCTTCTATTTAAAGAGTCTAATATATCAGGCCGGTTGTTCACTTCGGTATACTCTAGGGAACTGTTAACTTCGTCACTGGTCAGGTTGGAACTGTGACGCCTTCGGCTCAATGCTTGAATGTTGAGAAGATCGAATTCGGGCGAACGTTTGCTTTTGCGTTCGCTCTCTGACTGTTTGCGTCTGCGCAGACTTTCGTTGCTCTCTACACTATTCCTGGACTTTTCTAAGCTATCTAGAAGCATCTTTTTGCGTTCAGCACTAGATATTGACTTTTTGGGCTTTCTGAGAGGTGTTTCAACTGGTGAGGTTCTAGTGGGTCGTTTGTAACGGGGAAGGCTTCGTTCTCGAGACATTTCGGAAGGAGGTCTGCGTCGTCGAGTGCCTGTGGGGCTACGATCCTGTTCTGGTTGAGCTGATAGACTAGAACAACAGTCTGATTGTGAGTCTAGGTAGGCACGGTAGTCATCTCCGAATTCAAGAAGTCTTCGGGCAGCATCAGAGTCTGGGGCCTCAGAATATGGTTCCGAGTTGTATTTTTCCTGGTGGGCGAAAAGAAAATAATTAAATATTAATAATTATTATTAGATATATTTTAAGGTATATTACTAGAAAGACGTATTTCTTAAATAAGTTCATTCATCATCATCATCATCATCATTACAGCTCTTCACAAGTCCACTGCTGAACATAGGCCTCCCCCAAGGTATGCCAAAAAGCACGGTCCTTAGCCACCTGCATCCATCGACTTCTTGCATGTCTTACCAGGTCGTCACTCCATCTAGTGGGGGGTCGCCCTACACTTCAAGTTTATTCAAAAACTTAAACCTACTATCACGTAAATTATAACATAGATAATAATCTCAATTTTTGATTAAAAAAATCCACAGAAAGTAAAATGTGTTATGTATGAAATACCAAAACCTTACCTGGTAGAAATCCCAAGCCTGCTCCGAGAACGAGCTGTGCTCCTCAGTGCCGGCCGTAACACTCTTATCCACGTCGGAATCCTTGTCTATGGACAGATCCCAGAGCTGACTGGGGTCTCCTAAGCTCAGGGCTATGAACGACCTTTCTCTTTCTGTACTCCTAGTCAGTCTGGGTCTAACGTGCCCCCCTTCTGGACCAAGTTTGAAGCTGGGCGTCACTATTTCCGGCTCGTTCTGTTCCGGGATGGCACTGTCCGGTTCCTTGGTGGATATGTGTGTTTTTTCAATACTTTTGCGTAAATGAGCGATGGTTGCTAGTTGTTGTTTGATCAGTTCTTCGTCACTGTCGTTGCCGGAGGTGGATGTTGTGTCGAATCTGTAATATAGTTTGTTTTAATTATGTTTGTAATAGATATTTGAGTCTATACTAAGTAATAATAATAATACCCTCCAAACCGAACAGTCTTGGTGGCTAGTTTTAATGGAGACAATAAGACAGTAGGTATATGGATATAAAGCAGGCGAGAGAGGTGTGTCAGGATGGTGCCAAATGGAAGTCCGCAGTTCCTGCCTAACCCTCTGGGTTACAGACGTGAGTGTTTATGTCGTATGTATATATGAAACTCTTTGACTGCCTCGTTGGTCTAGTGGTTGTAGTAGTGCGACTGCTGATCATGAGGTCCTAGGTTCGAATCCCAGGTCGCGCCAAAAAATCAATTGTTGAGTTTTTCTGTCAAGAAATTCTCAGTAGAGCTGCCCCGAGTCAGAAAGTTGGCGGTGTCTCACCCCTGTGTCTCGGAAAGCCGTTGGTCCTCGGATCGGATTACGAGAGTGAGGGAATAGAGAGTGCACCTGTGCTTGCACATACACTTGGGCACTATAATCCTGTCCTGCGCCGATGGCTAGCCTCCGTTGAGGCAGGCCGCCGTGACCGAAATTCGGTCTGGAGGACATTATCATTATTATTATTATATATGAAACGTCAAGTAACTTCTTAACTCTGGGGCTGCTACTAAGAAATTCTTGAGAGAAATTTAGTAATAATATAATAGTATTAATTAGTAATAACTGACTATGGCTCGATCCGGGATTCGAACCTGGGATCTCATAAGCGGAAGCCGCGTTTGTGACTAGTATTCACGACGGAGATGAGGCAGTCGAACTCTCAGTCACTAAGTTATAATAAATATAATATAGTAAGACTTTATTCAAGAATAGTTCTTTAGAACAAATAGGAAAAAATATGGATAGTGGAACGCTAGCAAGAGCTCACTGTAGTCGCTTTTTCGCAATTTTTACGGCAATATACGACCTACGCTCACTGAGGACCTTTAGCTGGTTCAATGTGATGTTGGATTAATCTTATCTCAGATTTATCGCATAATAGTTACATGATTACAATGGCCGCGTTTGGCAAAAAAAAAAACGGTAGGAAGCGCTTGTAAGCAAAATGGCGATCGTAAGCGGTAAGCGCTGTCAATTCGTAAGTAGCTATTTTCCTCTAGGACACGAAGTTAGCTTTAACCGGGGAACCTAACCTAATTTAAATATATGTTTGTAAAGTATTCATATTAAAAACTTACCAATCATGAATTTTTAATAACATGTATAATATGTTAATTCATGTCATAGGATCAATGACATGATCCATTATATTACTTGAAACTAATATTGCACAAAACAAGTTACAAACTCTACTTCAAAAAAAAAAAACAAAGTAAAGAAGCAAGATGGCGGATTGTGTCAGCGCTACTGAAGCTAGCAAACGTGTCCTGGCCGAAAACTGTTTAGTTTCGCCATTTTACTTACAAGCGCTTGCTAGCGCTTTTTTCTGCCAAACGTAGCCAATCTCTATTATTAAACAAAATAACTAAAGAATTACACACTTACCTATACTTTCTACCGGTGGCCGGATCGCTAGCAGCACTCCTCTCGTTTTTATCCTCTATTTCAGGACTCAGCCTCCCGCAGAAAGAAAGCGACTTGACGAGCCTATCGCGTCTCTCGGAAGCGTTGTGCTTCCGAAGCTTGAGCCGTTTACGCCGAAGCCAACACTGCTTCTCGTTCGCTTCGACGCAAGACGTACACGCCTCCGTCATTGTGTTAGTGCTTGACACGTGACCCTGCAAGAACAGTTACGATTCATATTTTTACGTAACGATTTATATAATTACTGTACAACAAACAACAGTAGTTTTCATTCTTTATAAATCTTTCCATCACTTATAATTTATAAATTCTAAATAATTTCGATGTTGACGAGATAATTTTCACAGCGTCATTTACAGACTTTTTTTTAAATAATTGCTAGCCTTAAAATAGGATAAGTTAGCATTTTTGTTTTATTACTGTGTTTTAAAAGCTAATTTTCTGTTATTTTCGTTTATTCTTAAATTTAATAGGAGTACGTAAAATCGAATAAGTTAGGTTTTTTTTTATTTAAGCATTTATGTTTTGGAAGCTGATTTTCTGTTATTTTTGTTTATTCTTAAATTAAGTAGGACGTCTACTTTTGGAAAACTAATTACTTAGTAACTAATTAAATTTTACTTAGTAACTCATATTGCTATAACAGTAATTCACCATTATAGATTTTATATTTTTCGAAAATTTAACTTTGAGTTAAATAAGTACTAGAAAACACAGCGACAAGCGCTAGCACAAGGTCAGCCCGCCCCCAGCTCGTACGTTGTTCTTATATTTTATGCGAAAATGTTGTAATTAGTAGCAGATTATGACCTTAATACAGAATTATGGATATATATTATGGTCATATAAGCATATCCGAAATTCTATCAAATCTCGTAGACGTGGCAAGAGATAAATGACGATATAACTATATCGTATAAAATAAATGTCTCAGACCAAAAAAGAAAGAAGGCCATGCCTAATTTCTAGACACGCACTCACCTACACATCTTTCTTCTTTCTTTTTGTTTATTAGTCCCTAATAGTTCATTGCTGAACGCACATATTTTTTTAAAAACGTTACCCCTACACTAAGATTTTCTCTTGTATGCACCTCATTATATTTATATTATATACGCATCTTAAACCATGTTGTTGGTGGCAAATTATTTGGATCGATATGTGTAGTTATTAAAATTGACAATGGTTATGGCTTGGTTTTACAAAAAAATCATGCTATTCTTGTGAAGCAGAGCGCTCCGTGTTTTTTTCTTTGTAGGTCTGAAGCTAAATGTAATAAATAATGAAAGCAATTACCATATAGTGTCTATTCAGTCTAAACATTATTTAGTCTCTGTCCCTTTGCAGAGAGAATTTACATTTATCGTTGCGCTTGGCAGATGGATCGACGATCGCAGTACTGGATGATGACGCTGGTCCCCGCTACCGGTTTGCGTATTTTACCATCATATCTGCGTTGGCGTGTATTGCCGGCGTAAGGTAATCTACTAACTCATGAGATGGACATGTTGTGCGAGATGACGGGCGGCACAGTATACATACTTGTACCGTGGTGTTGCTGCCGCGCAGCTTGCCGTTGGAGTGCGAAGAGCCATACGGCTCGGGCGGCGCGGCGAGCGTGTGCAGCGCGGACTCGGAGATGGACATGTGCGAGATGGCGGGCGGCACAGTGTACATACCTGTACCGTGGTGTTGCTGCCGCGCAGCTTGCCGTTGGAGTGCGAAGAGGCGGGCGGCTCGGGCGGCGTGGCGAGCGTGTGCAGAGCGGACTCGGAGATGGCCATGTTGTGAGAGATGGCGGGCGGCACAGTGTACATACCTGTACCGTAGTGTTGCTGCCGCGCAGCTTGCCGTTGGAGTGCGAAGAGGCGTACGGCTCGGGCGGCGCGGCGAGCGTATGCAGCGCGGACTCGGAGATGGACATGTGCGAGATGGCGGGCGGCACAGTGTACATACCTGTACCGTGGTGTTGCTGCCGCGCAGCTTGCCGTTGGAGTGCGAGGAGGCGTGCGGCCCGGGCGGCGCGGCGAGCGTGTGCAGCGCGGACTCGGAGATGGACATGTGCGAGATGGCGGGCGGCACAGTGTACATACCTGTACCGTGGTGTTGCTGCCGCGCAGCTTGCCGTTGGAGTACGAGGAGCCATACGGCCCGGGCGGCGCGGCGAGCGTATGCAGCGCGGACTCGGAGATGGACATGTGCGAGATGGCGGGCGGCACAGTGTACATACTTGTACCGTGGTGTTGCTGCCGCGCAGCTTGCCGTTGGAGTGCGAAGAGGCGTACGGCTCGGGCGGCGCGGCGAGCGTGTGCAGAGCGGACTCGGAGATGGCCATGTGCGAGATGGACATGTGAGAGATGGCGGGCGGCACAGTGTACATACCTGTACCGTGGTGTTGCTGCCGCGCAACTTGCCGTTGGAGTGCGACAAGGCGTGCGGCTCGGGCGGCGCGGCGAACGTGTGCAGCGCGGACTCGGAGATGGACATGTTGTGCGAGATGGCGGGCGGCACAGTGTACATACCTGTACCGTGGTGTTGCTGCCGCGCAGCTTGCCTTTGGAGTGCGAGGAGGCGTGCGGCTCGGGCGGCGCGGCGAACGTGTGCAGCGCGGACTCGGAGATGGACATGTTGTGCGAGATGGCGGGCGGCACAGTGTACATACCTGTACCGTGGTGTTGCTGCCGCGCAGCTTGCCGTTGGAGTGCGAAGAGGCGTGCGGCTCGGGCGGCGTGGCGAGCGTGTGCAGCGCGGACTCGGAGATGCACATGTTGTGCGAGATGGCGGGTGGCACAGTGTACATACCTGTACTGTGGTGTTGCTGCCACGCAGCTTGCCGTTGGAGTGCGAGGAGGCGTGTAGCTCGGACGGTGCGGCGAGCGTGTGCAGAGCGGACTCGGAGATGCACATGTTGTGCGAGATGGCGGGCGGCACAGTGTACATACCTGTACTGTGGTGTTGCTGCCACGCAGCTTGCCGTTGGAGTGCGAGGAGGCGTGCGGCTCGGGCGGCGCGGCGAGCGTGTGCAGAGCGGACTCGGAGATGGACATGTTGTGCGAGATGGCGGGCGGCACAGTGTACATACCTGTACCGTGGTGTTGCTGCCGCGCAGCTTGCCGTTGGAGTGCGAGGAGGCGTGCGGCTCGGGCGGCGCGGCGAACGTGTGCAGCGCGAACTCGGAGATGGACATGTTGTGCGAGATGGCGGGCGGCACAGTGTACATACCTGTACCGTGGTGTTGCTGCCGCGCAGCTTGCCGTTGGAGTCCGAGGAGCCATGCGGCCCGGGCGGCGCGACGAGCGTATGCAGCGCGGACTCGGAGATGGACATGTTGTGCGAGATGGCGGGCGGCACAGTGTACATACCTGTACCGTGGTGTTGCTGCCGCGCAGCTTGCCGTTGGAGTGCGAGGAGGCGTGTAGCTCGGACGGCGCGGCGAGCGTGTGCAGAGCGGACTCGAAGATGGCCATGTTGTGAGAGATGGCGGGCGGCACAGTGTACATACCTGTACCGTGGTGTTGCTGCCGCGCAGCTTGCCGTTGGAGTGCGAGGAGGCGTGCGGCTCGGGCGGCGCGGCGAGCGTGTGCAGAGCGGACTCGGAGATGGACATGTTGTGCGAGATGGCGGGCGGCGGCGGCGCCGGTAGCTGCGACAGGCACGACACCGACCACGGCCGCGGCCCGCTGCGTTTCTTCCGCAGCTGCACCTAGGTGCGCGTTAGTTAGCGACGCTTAGTTTGTTAATTATGGTCGATTATTAAAGCCAGGTTGGACAAAATATCGTATTTTAAACACAATCTTGAAACTCGAGAATTTATACTTCCTGAAATAGTATATGCTCGGAAAAAATATTCGCGCATAAATGAAATATACTTTGGCGTTCGAATTCTCGTGTTTTATTTTTCAATAATATAAAAGGCATGTTATTAAATTATTTCTAATCGGCTCCATTTTTATTCAGTTTATTTATTTTTGGTTTATAAGCAAAAACATTTCAAATAAAGTAACTTTTTGCCCACCGAATAAGAGGGTGACACTGAAAGTTTTTAGAACTGGCCACTTTGTAAACGATATAATAAAAAAACAAGTTCAAATTTTAAAATGGAACTTTTTTGCCAATATTATTTTGTATGTGTATTTCATTAATTAGTCATCTGTTTACTATTTGGAGGCAAATTGAAAATTATCTGTGTCACGTCAACATGAATTTAACAGGAGAAAATTTTTGTACAATTATTTTTTATGACTTTCGATGTCATTTAAGTCAACAAGAAAGTTATGATAGACTTCGATTGGCCTTTCACGATAAAGCCCCATCTCGTGCCACTGTTTACAAACTGGTTTAATGAGTTTAAACGTGGTCGCACTAATCTCACCGATGATCTGCGTGAGGGACGGCCTTCTACATCGACGACTGAAGATAACATCAGTGTTGTGCGGCGTATAATAGAGACTGATAAAAGAGAGGCTAATCAGCACATTCGGACAAGCTTAGGTATCGGAATGAGTCAAGTGCACAAAATCCTCCACAAACATTTAGCGGTCAGAAAGCTTTGTGCCCGTCACAGTCGTGTTGCTTGGTGTCGTGAAATGGTTCAAAGATTTAATGGAGGTGACTCAAATGCTGTGTTCGACATACTTACGGGTGACGAAAGCTGGATATTATTTTTATGATCCTGAAACTAACTAAACTAACTTCCGAAGAGTTGCCAAGTAAAGTGAAGAGAGGTCGAAGCGTGGGAAATAAGATGGTGGCCTCGTTCGTCGGTAAGGAAAAATCCTTATGCCTCCTCAAGGCGACCTTTCCCTCTCTTTGTCTCTGTCTTTTTTTATTATAAACGGTTGTATGTGTGTGATCATGCGAGTATCGAGATTTGGGCAAGCAAGCAATGTGCGCAGTCAGCTGTATAACCTCAATTCTAAACACGTGTAAATATTATTTAAACTTATTTTTTTTACTGTTTTAGTTTAAACTTATTTTTTGTTATTGTTTTAATTCACAAGGGATTTATATTGTGTCATTATTGCAATTTTATAATGGAAAGTTGAGAAACAGAATCTGAAGGTAATGGTAAATAATGGAAACTTAAAAAAGTATTATTTTAACTCCATTCCTGAGGTGGACCCCGACCACACATTTATCAACCGACTGCAAAAAAGGAGGATGTTCTCAATTCAACTGTATTATTTGTGTGTGTTAACTCAGAACTTTTTCTAGGTGAACCCATTTTGATGATTCGTTTTTTAATTGAAAGCTGGCGTTTCTCATGTGGTCGCATATTAATTTGATCAAGATACGTAAGGGCTGCGGCGGCACCCCCACGTGGTCGGTGGGCAGTTGTTGATGGTAAATGATAGTCAATACTGGGAAGTTGACAATTGATAGTTTATTGATAGAACCAACTAAATCTAATTTAAGGATAGATGGGAAATGATACTGCGAGCACGCGTGACCGGTATTGCTGGGCTCAATTAGCGCACTGACTCAAAATGCATTATTGTAGCGTTAATAGCGTAAACTGCCGACGCCACAAAAATGTACGTGCTACAGCCCGTACAAGATATGACCAGTAGTTTTTGAGTTACCCTTAATATTGCTTACTTAATTGACTTCGACTACACGGATGATGTTCTTTTTTATTTATATTGAAGTCAGTTGTAGAAATTTTTTAATTTTACCACTTGTTTTTAAATTGGCATTAACGATTGTAGGAAGTCAACTTGGCTAATTCCGAAGTTACCTTTGTACAAGGGCCTAAGTGTAAGAGTGTGTCTTATTTAGCGTCATTGCGGGTTTCGTGAGATAAGATGGGGCTCAAAGTGAAATGTTTAATTTTTTAATCGATTGAACATGTCCGAAAGCAGCTAACCTATATACGGCGTCGTATTTTACTGGAGTCCTGGTGTTTGTGACGTTCACGATGCCTTTGTCATTTTTTTTCGGTACAATAATTATTCTGTGTATACGTGTTTCGTCATTAACGTCATCATTAAAACCCTTCACAGGTCGTGTGCTGAACATAGGTCGCCCACAAGGAAAGCCAAAAAACAAGGTCCTGAGCCACCTGCATCCATTGCCTCACTGCATTTTTCATCCGACACCCGAGTGGGCTTCCAATCGAGAAGATTTCCATCGGTTGTTAGCTTTTCGAGCTATATGGCCGGCCCAATGACACTTCAGTTTACTCATTTATTGGGCTATGTCAGCTCACCAACTACTATATTACCACCCATTGTAAGGTAAGAGTTATCAGACTCCAGTAACAGATTTATAAATACGTAATATTATAAAGTAAACATTGATACACACAAAAGAACACTTAAAGCTTATTGTCACAGTGACCGTTATTAATAATGTCAATAAGTTTAAACACGACAGGAAGAAAGCGTTTGAAATTAAAGCTTAACAAAATGCTCTAATGTCGTATTCACCTTGGCTTGATGTGTTGGGGTGACGGTACAAGTGGACGTGCTCATGTCCATCGACGAATGTAAGTTGCGCTCTTCAGAAGTCAACGAGGTATCCACTTCGCTCTCCGTGGTGTATTCACCCGACGCATCGTAACTTTCCGTGCACTGGAAGAAATACCATAAATTTAGGCTATTAAGATATATTTTTCCTAAGCACTAAAGTCTTAGTAATCCAGAATTATGTAACGTTTAGTAATAATATGATTCCATACTTTTTTAATATTTATCAAAATAGAAGTTATAAAAATAAACTAATATTGTAAACGTAACAAATTCACACGCCTGTTTCTTAAAGGAGTAGGCAGAGACGACGGCATTTCAATTAGCGTGATCCTGATCCTTTCTCGCTACTTTCACATCCGTATATCATTTTCACATCGCATACATGCTCGTCGGAGCACCCTTATGCTCTTTACTTGGACCATCTTTAATAGTCAATTTGTTAGATAAAATCCTATCAAGGACGACCCCTACCATCTCTGCCACTCAAATAAGTATAAATTTGCTTTGTCACACTTTCCGCATTCATTCTTTCTCTGCCCAAAGGAAAAAGCATTTTATCCTATTTTTCTACCTGAATCTCCACGAAAGATTAAAAGAAAGGCTCAAACATTCACAACGTACGAAATATTATGACGTATTAAAATACTGTTAGTCTAAACCTGACAACCAATAATTTGTGTTCTTGCACTAATATCAAAATCAATTTGGATCCAACGCAAAGCTGTCTGCTAATTTATACTTAAAATAAGTGTCGATTAAATTCTTACCTGATTGCAAAGCTGGCTGCTAATTTATACTTAAAATAATTGTCGGTTAAATTCTTACCTGATTGCTATCGTTCTTCGAACGTTCGCCCTCCGTGCTCTGATTCAGCCACTCTTTTATCCTGGACATCTTCACCCGGCTGACTGATTTCCCCTCCTCTTCGAACATAAGCGGCTTGAAGCTTCTCGATCCTTTCTTTTTCATTTGCTGCTGCGCTTGCTTCTGAACCAATTCCTCGGCCTGAATCACCAGTCTTTCGATGTCCTTACATCTAGCGTCCACTTTGATGAGGTCCGGTGTATTCGATTCCAACTTAGGTTTGGGTGAAGGCGATTTTTCTTTCTTCTCGTCAACGGGGAGCTCGCACTGGATCTCCACTGATGACGTCATGAGGTCAGTGGAATCTTCGTTGGCGATCTTTGGACTACCGACGTACGTCCATTCCTCCTCCGAGGACTCTTGTGACTTCTCGTCCGTCTCGATCATTTGCCTTCCATCAGAATCGGTGTCGTGATGCCTAAAGTAAAAAGTGGCGCAGTTCTTCGATTTCCTATCGGACTGATTGAATTTGGACGTGTCCACTGGTTTCTTCCTTTTAACAACCGTCGGTGGTGTTTTCACTTGCTCGTGGAAGTTCATCGTTTCAGTTTCCTGCGTACTGAGGTCTGTAATGGAAAGAAATGAGTTGTGGAATTGTTTCTCAAGTGAAGACTGTTGGTTTATTTGTTTGTTTTAAAAGTCGCGGTATTCAAACAATATTGCGACAAATAATCGATTATACGAGTCATTGTTTATTTATGCAAATCGCACGGTCGATAGTCGTGAGGCGCGAGCACCATTTGAGAAAATCGAAAGTTGGATATTGGATTTGTATTGGATATGCATTCTTGAGATGATTGCTATTGAATGATGCTCTGTTCACCATTTATGGACATTGTGTGAAATCAACGTGAATATTTATTTAAATTTTTGTATAATCTTTTCATTAAGCATAGGAATATAGCATTAGCATACACGAGTAAATAAAAAAGATACACGTAAACCTAAATTTAACTATTTTTTTATAGAGCAGGGGTGAAAAACAATAGAGCACACAGTCCACCTAATGGCAAGTAGATTATGTGGTCCAAGATACTTACATCTGTACTAAAGAATCAAAATGCAGATGCGTTGTCACTCCCTGAGGATTATGATGGATTGCATCGTTTTCAGTAAAAAAGGGTCTCCGGTTCTCGACATTCAACATACAAAACATCCGGAATTAAGCTGGTATTTTTCGCTAATACACTAATGAGAGCTTGATCCTTCCCCGGTCGTACCAACCCATTCGTGCTTCAACCACAATATAACTGCAGCGTGGCTTTACTACATATATATTGTTATTTTAGATATTAAAGAACAAAACGAGAGCAGAATGAGTACACTTTGTCTGTTTATGTGATTTTCCCACGTTGATTCAATTTAGTTGAGCTTACTAGAAAAAACATCAAATGAGAATACCCATGACTAACAAAATTTTTGTTATTGGCTAATTAAATTGTTGTTAATAACATTGCTCGAGAAAGATTCGTATTGTCAGAACTGACGTCTTTGCTGAAAGGAATGGTTTTATTCTATACCTAAATACAGTCTGGTACTGCAAGTTAAACGCTGCTCTTCGTAAACGAAGTGAATTTTAAATTTTATATATGTAGGAGCCATGTTGCAACTCTATATTATGGTTGTAAAACGAATGGGTCGGCTCGACCGGGGAAGGACCACGCTCTCACAGAATACCAGCGTAAAATAGCAGCTTAATACTGCTGTGTTTCGTATGATGATTGTAGAGATCCGGAGACCTTTTTTTACTAGAAACGAGGCATTCCATCTTAGTTCTCAGGGGTGACAACGCATCTGCGCTTTGATTCTTAATCGAAGATAAATGTAGATATTTATGGACCACAGCATCCACTTATCATCGGGTGGACTGTTTGCATGTTTGTCACCCCTATTCTATAAAAAAACGCACTTAGTCTTTACCAACTTCGGACTAATGTTGACATTTTATGTAGCAATGCCAACAAAGGTTGACAATGGGTTAGCAAATTTTTTGTTACTACAGTGGTATATGGGTGACTTATTGTTAAACGAACCGCTTGCTTGTTCGTTTCACAGAGCAACGTGCTATTGGGAGGTAGATGGATTTCATTAAGAGGGGAACCAACTAGTGGGTGTACTAAGATGCGACTGTGGGAAGAACAGAACTTTTTGACATTCGATATACAGCGGTAAGCAGCGGTGATAAGCTCAAACCTCCTCCCAATTTTGAGAGGGTTGTAGAGCGATAAGTTCTTATTTTAGTGGTTGTAATAGTTTTTGTTTCTACGACAAGCAATTCATTATCGTGCACGTTGTAAATCAGCACTTAAAATTGCGATAAAAATTTCATACGTTAGTACAGTTCACACCGTGCAGTGGCGGGATAAGAAAATCCACTGCACTGCACCCATATCATAACGGTCGTAAAGAGGCGACAGAATTAAATGCAACGGGAGATAACCTGCAGCATCTTCCTGATAACAATTCCAAACTAATTAAAAAAAATGCGGTAGCTTACCTGTATACCAAGCATGACAAATATGAGATATCCCCCATAAATTGCGCCATAGGGGGCAATCTACGGAGCATAATTCATATTCTATTATATGATACAATAGAATAGGAAATGAAATTCATTATGATTTCTTATATTTACGCGAACACTATACATGATTTTATCGCGTTTATTTTTACTTTTTATTTACTTTTATTTTTAATTCCCGACGTTAAACCCCGGAGTACCTTCTTAACTGAAGTACTCCGTTTAACAATGACATCGGGACGTCAGTCATCTCAATCCCCCGTGACCATGGGTGCTGGAAAGCGCCCGAAACGTCGGGAATTAAAAATAAAAGTAAATAAAAAGTAAAAATAAACGCGATAGAATCCGTAAAAGTAATTTTAATCAATGAAATTCATTGTTAGTGGTGATCAAACCTAGGTAGCTCTCGTGAAGTAAGTACGTCGAGCGATAGTGACATGCGACACATGGTGGAGGCCATGTGCCCAACAGTGAACTGTTAGTTAACAGTTCAATGATACATATGATAGAGACAGAAGAAGTAACCAAATAAAGTGAGCACTGACCGTGCAGACGTCGCAGTGTTTCAGGGGGGCCGCTGTCCGTGAGGTCGGGCACGCGATGCTCGTCCTGCTCCATGCTGTCCGCGCGCCGTGACCACGAATAGTCGGATTCAAAGCCACCCCACGTGCACGTCAGCACATCGTCTGTTTCCTCCTGCAAAACGCAACAATAATTAGAAAAACGAAAGGAAATTTAAAAGAATCAGATGTTGCTTTGCGATATTAGACATGTTAAAAAATAATAATCTAAGATTCGCATTCCGTCCTCCACTCTTCGTAAAATGTGTGGCGTTACCATAGTCGATCGAAAGCGAAACTAAGAGATTCGCAATATGGCAGGATTGAAAGATGACCTTATCACAAAAATTGATAGGGGCGTACTCCAATGGTTTGGGCACGTTGAGCGAATGAGTGAAGACCGAATGGTGAAGAAAATATATAGAGCGAAAGTAAATATTAAAAGGTGTCGAGGTAGACCGAGACTAACTTTCGAAGACCATGTGAGCAAATTGCTCGAAGAGGGGAAGGTCAAGAGTACTCGGATACCTAGACGTGCATGTATGAAGAAGTTAATGAACCTGAAAGAAGCGAAAGAGGTATGTAAGGATCGTGACACTTGGCGATCTGTTCTCTCTGGCTACCCCGTTAGGGATTGTGCGTGAAGATAAGTATAAGTAAGTAAGATTCGCATGAAAAATAAATTGGTGTCTAACCTAGTCTGCAGAGCATCTCGCCTCCGTACGCACTCAGCAGTGTTAGAGTGTGTTTCTCTTGAGTGTGTTGCCTCGTTTCGAAGTGAAACACGTGTCGTATTAACGACGGTGATTTGTTTTTAATTGAGTCCTTTATTTGGTTTTGGGAGTACAGGTTTCAGGTAGGTGATGACAGTGATAGTGCTCACAATTATGGAAGAGAAAGAGAAGGAAGGAAACGTACTATTTAAACTATGTAAAACACACCGTATTTTCATTCAGATCTTGGCTATTTAATTTTCATATATTTAAGGGGAAATATAATGTCAAATGGCTTAGCAAGATCCTTCGTTATGCCGAAAATATTCCAGCAATAATTTTGAAATAAATATATGGTAAAGTTGAGGATTAATGTTAATGATTATGTTAGACGAAAACACGATTTCGTAAAATTTTCTCGATAGAAAAAAAATCCAAAGTTACCTCCAAAATAAACAATAAACCGCTGTTATTCATAAAATACTTTAAATAAGATCATGAAACTTTGCATAATAACTGAACTAACTATAAAGCAGTGCTTATGTTATTTACTTTTTTTAAAATACCATTATTTTCACTGTAAAAAGAAATTACCTAAACTATCGGCGCGTAAGCTTGATTCCTGTCGCCCCGTTAATATCGCTTAGGCTTTTGAAGGGAGAAGTAGTGTCGCTTACGATCAGAATATACATTACGCAACAGTACGACGTAAAATTAAAATGGGAAATAACCGTGATAAAAATAAGAAACGGCTGGCTTGGCGTTAAGAAACAGGCATAAATATGATAAACCTAATGAAATAAGTGTCTAACGACCTTTCTCCTTACAGTATTAGTGATTACAAACATGTCGGTACATAGCATAGGACGCGCGGGGAAGTGGGGGCGAAATTAGAATTTGAGCTGACTTACTCTATCCTCTTAACGAAAAGATATTGTTATCATGATGAAACAATCCTAGATTATTTTCGACACAGCAACAATTTCCGAAGAAATGTATCTACTGCGTAGTAAATATAGTGCCACGAGAGTCGCAAAAGTACGCAATCACAGTGGGACTCCCTTTTTTTCAATTTACCCTTGTCCAATGCTTACTCGAAAGTAAAGGAAGTTAACTAACATTTAATAGAAAATAACGGAAGTTTTTTTTTATAGAATAAGGATGACAAACGAGCACACAGTCCACCTGATAGAAAGTGGATGCTGTGGTCCATAGACATAATGTAGATACGTTGCTAGCCTTGAGGACTAAGATGGAATGCATCGTTTCCAGTAAAAAGGGTCTCCGGTTCTCTACACTCACCATACGAAACATAGCAGCAACAAGCTACCATTTTATGCTGACATTCTGTGAGAATCAAACAAACCCGAAAATAACTGATTTGCATTTTTATCAGACTATCTTTTGACACTGTATCGTTTTGAGATTAAGCGACATCTGCTGTTTTTTGTACACAATTGTACAACCCGAGTACAATGCAGATGATGATGTGATGACCTATAAAGCCGCAACGTGATCCTTTACTGCTGACTGTAGGAAGAAGCTCACATTGTGATGACAATGGATATCCTCCACAAATAAACTAAACTGAGCATGCCATATAATTCAAAGAACCGACCACTCAGAAGTAATATTCTCGAGGGGCAGACTTATACTGGTTTAGTATCATGCTTTGTGATCATCTAAGAGGAATGCTTGAGCTCATCAGTGTAACGGACTGCAGCTATGATAATGATAAACGTAATCACTGATATGAATGGATCGGCTCGACCAGTCAAGTACCCCGCTCTGTGCTCTCCCTGAATACTAAAGTTAGACAGTAGCTTAATACTGCTGCCATTTTAACTGGATACGATGCATTCCATCCTATTTCTCAAGGGTGAGAACACATCTGCATTTTGATTCCTAATCGAGGATAGATCTAGATGTCTATGTGCCACAGCAAACACTTACCACCTAGTGGACTGTGTGCTCGTTAGTCACCTTTATTGTATAAAAAAATAGAGAAATGAATATATAAAAAAGAAGAGAGTCCTTTAATAACCCAGGATATGTGAAAAGATATGAGTAAATGGAGCCCTGCACTCTATTGTGAAGAGTCAAAATGTGTCAAAAAAGGCACGTATGGCAATTCACAATGCTGTGTTGGTCCCTACTTTAACGTATGGTAGTGAAAGTTGGGTATGGCAGAAGAAGCACGAGAGTAGAATAAATGCAGTAGAAATGAGGTCGTTAAGGAGTATGTTAGGGCTGAATCTGAATGACAGGGTGAAAAATTGTGTGATAAGAGAAGAGTGTGGTTTGCAAGATGATGTTGTGACCAGGATTAAGAAAGGAATGCTTCGGTGGTTTGGTCATGTGGAAAGAATGGATGAGGAAAGAGTGACAAAGAAAATTTATGTTGCAGAAGTGAATGGCAGAGTCGGAAAGGGACGTCCTAGGCGAAAATTTATCGACCAAATTGGCGATTTATTGAAAACGGGCCAAATTAGGAGTACCCTTAACCGACGAGCATGCATGCGTAGGTGTATGGATGTGAAGGAGGCGAGAGAGGTGTGTCAGGATCGTGCCAAATGGAAGTCTGTAGTCTCTGCCTACCCCTCTGGGTGACAGGCGTGAGTGTTTATGAATGTTGTTCTTTACCTCAGAGGCAGACTGTCGGCTGTCGAATGAACGGTTGCGGATCCTAGGTTGCGGTGTGCGGAGTCGCCGTGGTGAGCCACGTCTGCTCAGCCGAGGTTGCTTAAGAGCCGGCTCCTCGTCACTGTCGCTCGCCTCTTCTATTGATATGCAACCCTGGAAATATTAATTTTTTATTGAACTACCTCTCTCTGCTGCTTCACTGGAACTTCACTAATCAGAGGGCTGGCACAAACCGCATACGGATCAGTCGACGGATCGTAAGTTTTCTTACAAGTGTTTCGAGACGGATTATTAATCACTTGACAGGAATATACAATTTAACGCGTTTTAATATAAAGATAAGTGCTTGATTTTATTTTAAATATTACCTATATATACTGCTACGAATATTTTATAATAAGCGATAGCTATGTTTTTTGGGTTGATACCGTTTATTTTGAATTATGAAGGCGTAATTATATAGCTACAAAACGTGATAAATAGAATAAAAATGTACTATTTCTTAAAATGTCTTTTCAATCAAAGTATCTTTGAATTATTAAAAAAGTATGATACGAATTGTGGCGGCGCTGTCGTCGCGCCGTAAGCGAAACACACCGAAGCTTAAATCACGCTATCAACATTCCGAATCATAAACAGCATATATAGAACATCTCCGAACTATCACATGGAGTGTGAGCCGCTCCCCGGGCAGAACACCTTGCCAGGCGGGAGATATACTCGAATATACTCTATTATTTTTGAAATTAGTTTAAATATAACAAAATTTATTTTAAAATCTGCGAATGGAAAAGGAAAAATGAGTTTAATTTATAATATAAATCAACGATCCTAACGCTAGATCCAAATTAAATACAATAAATTTAAAAATTGCAATAAATAATAAAGATAAAAAGTCCAACAATTTTTTTTAATAAAAGCAAGAATGTAATAAATTATATTTAAGTGCTAGTTTGTACTTTTGAACTATTCATACCATTCAACGAATGGGTAAATAAATGAATTTATGGTTAGCGTGTAAGGCCCCAAAGTAACATTTCGACCCCATTACTTAAATTAATAGATGCGTCCTGAATACGCTAATGGAATTAGGTCAGTGCTAGCCACAAATCATAGTAAATCTCTCATGAATTTAATGAAACATTTTATACACACAAGGGCACGTGTCCACCCTACATCTCAAAGCTAAGGGTTGATCAATAACCGGGACTTGACTAAATTGTTCGAATACTTCCAATAGTGTACAGTTAAACAAAGTAAACTATACTCAATAAAGACTTTAAGCAAAATAACAAATAAAATAATATATTTTAACATTGGTGTAAAATTTTTTCGAAGTATTGTTTTTAAAGTCAACTAATATGATGTGTTCTATAAAAACTATGGTAAGATACATTTCATAATTTTTAATTTGCAACCTTATTAGATTCTACAAACATAAAAGAAAACAAACCTACAACATATCCCAAAAAGCTATGGTTTAAGTATTTTAGCGTAATGTGTAAAAATATGTATATTAAACAAAACAATAAATTTGATAGTTTAACCCCCTAAAGTTAACGTTGTTGTTGTGCTCATTTGGAACGCCACTTGGGGGTCGTTTGCAAACAGGGGTCGGCGGGTGGTCGATTGCACTATTGTCACCGCGAGACCACAACTCGTGCGAAAACGACTAACAAGGCGTTGCAAATGAAAGTGAATTGCAGAAACTTTTTTGCAGATCCGCCTAGTGACTTCTGTTGTGTGTGACTCTATGTAATTGCTAGAAAGCAGAGTTACGAATAACATGAAACTTTCATTTGTCGTATTACAATCTAATTATTTAGTAATTTAGAACGTCTGAAAATATAATAAACTATTGATATTTTACAAATGTATCCTGTATTAATATACAAAACATTTCTATTTATTTTAATTATAATTATACATATTAATAGAGTGTATTTAAGTATTTAGTTTGTAGTTTGAAATTTTCTTTATTATAATTTTTTAATACTGTACATATTTGAATGTTATGTAAATAATAATTTATATTCTAATAAATATAAAAAATATACTATACACTTTATATTGTAATACTGCAATGTTTCTCAAGAAATTGTTGATTCAAGGTGGAAGTTTACGCTAATTAGACGTAATAAACATATTTAATAACTCCTTTTGTACTGACAGTAAAATAGGAAGTATAATGAATCATATCATTCTTACCAGATTATATTCTTACATTTAAAAAGCATGATATCATACTATGTACTTAGTTAACACTATGTTTTGGTGCTGTAATACTGAAAAGATTCTCGTAACAAAGCACAATTAAACATTAACAAGTATAATAATTTTTTTTTAATAAATAATTAATAGTAAATAAGTTAAAGTATAAAAACTAATATTCAAAGATATATAGAGTCGGCCAATTAATACCAGGGTGACCTCCTACTAGATGGCGTGACGACCTGGTAAGAATTGCAGGAAGTCAATGGATGCGGGTGGCTCAGGACCGTGCTTAGTGGCATTCCTTGGGGGAGGCCTATGTTCAGCAGAAGACTTGTGAAGGGCTGTAATAATGATAATGATGATGAATTCGTAATGAAGCAGTGCGGAAAATTTTGCAACTCTATAACTCTCTCAAAAATGAAACGAAGTCTTTACCCAGTTTTGGGACTGGAGCATAGGTAGGCTGTTTTGTAGACTGCGTACTTAACAGATTGAATGAGCTGAAGGAGCGTAAATTCTTAATTCTACATGAATAAATCTGAGGGCATCGCCTATACATATGTACATAAATATATGTAAGAATTTTAATTGCATTTAAAGGTTGAATAGATATAGTTTTACTATGGGGAAAGCTAACTCATGCGTGAGAATTGTTTTCTATTTCCGATTTCGTCAATTTAGTGACAATAGAATATACGAATACTGACTACAATAAATATATACTTTTGAGGAAGAGCTGCGAGTTTTTGACGGCGTAATTATTTTTCTTTTGTCAATTACAGATACTTTCTTTATTCTTGTGGTTACTTGAAAGCGGAATTACTCAGCAACTATTACGCAATGACGAACCGCAAGAAGTAAGTGTTTACCAAATCTTTTATGAAGGTATAAAAGCTGCGAAAGAATAATGACATTAAATATGGGGGACACCTACTTTATTTTTACAAAATAAGAATTATTATTACTACAGAATAATTGCTTTATATTACGAAATATTCGATTTATAAAAGCTTAAGTAAATCGACTAAGAAATCCACTGTGTCCAATCCACGTCTTTTCACAGTTTTAAAGGCAAATACAGATTTAGTCACAATGAACTAAATAAGCGACTGATAGCTTATTGAGATTATATATGCAATTTTAATGTCACTATACAGGACTACTAAATTGGAATTTAACCGACGAATTTCGCCATCATAAAATATAAACCTTTTAAAGATTTCCTTGTCTTCATCTTCATCGGCCCGTGAAATTCTAATGCAGTATCCTCTCCCGCTGTAGAATCAATTAGTCATAATCGATTGTCGATCGCAATACTAGATTACTAGACGTCTCGCAACTTTGACTCTGTTACCCCTATAGTAAAGTTAAAGTAAAGTTACAGCCTATATACGTCCCACAGCTGAGCACAGACCTCCCCTTATTTCTGAGAGGATTTTCGGGCAAGGAAGTGTCGAACTTCAGATATCAAAATAATTATTTTCTTATTTCTTAGACATGCAGGTTTCCTTCACCGCCAAGCACGTAGTAAATCATTAGCACTTAAAATTGCAATTAACAATTTCATTGGTGCCGGCGGGGATCGAACGCGGTTGCTCGCATACTGTGAAATTTACAGCGAGCGCTAAACTAAGCGCTAACCACCTGAGCCATGGTAGCTCAGATGGTTAGCACTACCTAAACGAGTTGGTTACACATTTATCCATAGGAAGCCATATTTTTGTGTCATTCCCCATAAAGACGACCTTTTACGAAACCCATAGAACGAAATGGTGATGGATTCTCTTATATCGCTACAACACCGGCGTTACCAAACGATTTGGGGAGCCGTTAAAATTATTATAAACAATAGTCGAATGGGCTATGAACTGAGGCACGTGTACCTGGTTGTCGGTCTTCGCGAGGCAGGCCTCAAGGTGACACTGCCACTCAATAGCGCGCAGGTAGAGGAGGTGCCAGCGGCGCTCCAGTGCGCGGGCCGCGTCGCCTCCACCGCACAGCCGCACCACGGAACTCACGATGCGTCCGTGACATTCCACGTCGCGTTGCAATACCTGCAACGAATCATACATATATATCACACCGTATGCTTACTACCGACAGCATTGAAATAATTGAACACATATGTTAGGACGAGTGAGGGTATTATGTGTTTTTACACACTGTGTTTACCGTAGACAGAGAAACCTATAAACAAATTGACGCCTTCTTTCGCATTCGCACACGAAAAAGATAGATTTATGCATACGTCTTGCATAGAAATGAGACAGAGCGGTGTGATTGTTTGTCCCCTTCTCCGTGCCGGTTTTTTGACAGTTCGTAGCGATCTAAGGAGTTTACAAGTTGGTTTAAGCACGGTAATATTAATATTACCGTGGTTTAAGTTAGAAAAAAAGTGTTTTGTGAGCTTAAGATTGGTGAATCTTGTTCAGTTCAGTTCTTAGAACAATTAAAATTTTTATTTAAATATGTTTAAAAGTTACAAAGATTATTGTATAACCTAAAACTACGCGAACATTGCACATGATTAAAACTACTTTTACGGATTTTATCGCGTTTATTTTTACTTTTTATTTTTAATTCCCGACGTTTCGGGCGCTTTCCAGCACCCATGGTCACGGGGGACTGAGATGACTGACGTCCCGATGTCATTGTTAAACCCGGAGTACCTTCAGCTTTTTTAATTATTGTTTATACAATAATTAAAAAAGCTGAAGGTACTCCGGGTTTAACAATGACATCGGGACGTCAGTCATCTCAGTCCCCCGTGACCATGGGTGCTGGAAAGCGCCCGAAACGTCGGGAATTAAAAATAAAAAGTAAAAATAAACGCGATAAAATCCGTAAAAGTAGTTTTAATAACCTAAAACTACGTTATCGTCCTTTCTCACTCGAGACCACGCTAATCATTAGTCTATAGGTTTCTCTGTCTACGGTGTTTACACACTGTAATCCAACGCGGTTAATAGATTCCGAAAATACCAAATATTTCACAGAGGCTAAGGAACGGCCGAGATTTTCTGTACCTATTCTGTATTTACACATACGATCGCAACTGTTAAGTCAAGAAATTACCGGTTACAGTCATGGTTGTGAACAAATAAAATTACTGATATTTATTACAGTATATATAAATACCACGCGAATTAATATTTAAATAGATTCTTCCAACATCAAAATCCTTATATAACTGGTAATAAATAAAAGACAAGAAACAATCCAAGCATCGATACTCGATATAGAATTTGTTTACATTTAAAACGCTACAATACTAAGAAAAAATACAAAAAAAAATCGATAACCAGTTACAGAATTAACAACAATAGATGATCGTAAAGAATCCAGCTCTATAGCATTCCAGGTAATAAAAAAATAATGGGACTTAGTAAAAAATACAGCGGTATTGAGTGAGGCACGGGCGCACGGCATAACTAATGCGGCAATTGCTGTTGACTTTTGATCGAAGCTGTTAAAGAAAATTAATAAGAAAATCACAAAAGGGCGAAACGCACTAAATTATATCTTTTATATACAATTTCACCTTTGAAACTTTCTTTACTTCCACTTTAACTTTTCTCTATCTATTTAAAAAAAATTCTAAGAGCTTAAACGGTTGCAAGTCCGTTAAAAAAAACAGTAAATTGCATAAAAAATATCTATGATGTTTATTAACAAAGCAATTACAAATTTTATATACTATATTATAGCTAAGAACAACACATAGAAAAACAAATTAGATGTTCTTTAAGTATAATTAATTAGCCTATAAGGAGATTGATGCATTATTAGAGCAGGCTGATTTTGTATAAACGGCATTGTACAAATTACAATCCTTAGTGATATAAGGCCCGATTGGCCGGCAAATAACAATCGATCGACATCGCTTGTGGTTACATCGATTTCAATTCTATTACGAATGGAAAAAGCTCGGTTCAGTTCCCTGAAAGTGTCCGCCTTTACACAAGCTACTCAATTTAAATATGTAGTTAATAATATTTAAGGACATAGAAATTTAATAGCAAATTGAGATAATTTTTTCACATTATCTACTGTTAAAATTTGATCAACAGCTATCTTTGGATGTTAATGTTGATACTTAACACAGAAGTACATTTGAACATTATTAATAAACTATTCTATTATAAACGGCCTAGAGATTGATTCGCCGACTTCCTATCGCCATGTGATGGGATAGTGAATAGAAAGACAAAATTACTCGTTATATTTACATAATATGTTTGCGTGGGCGTTTCTTTGGTAAAAGTAAAAGCAGAGCTTATATAGTCCGTTATGTGTATATTTATACATTTTCTTTTGTACACATCCTCTCACGGTTTTTCAACTTTGCTCGTTTCATATTCATCAATAATGATTTGTTTTGACTTCATCTTTCGTTAAATAACTTTCATCGTGTAAAAATTTAATAAATAAGAATTATAATATGTATTATAGATACAAAACCGTATTTGCATTCGTTTTATGTTAATGTTTTAGTGTTTTCAATTTGTTAACATTATTTAAATAATCATTTATTTATTTAACTAAGATGTTGATATAAGACTCAGGAATCAGGAAATATTTATTTAATTACTATTTATAGTAATAGTGTTTTTTAGCATTGATTTCTTTTTTTATGAACTGTTCTTAGTTTCTCGATATACCATTTGATATCAAGATAAGGTCAAACGTTCATTGTAAGAGTTCATTGTTCAAGAAACTACATACTTGTATCTGTCGATTCTATTGTAATCTTACAAGGATTGCATCATAAGTTCCGACAAGTATAAACACAAAAAATTAAAGCACAGGGTTTGCATTTACTTGAAGTTTTTTTTAGATAATTAGGAATTATATATGTAGTTTTACTGATTAATTAAATTGATACGTATAACTATTCATTAATTGAAATTGAGAGATTGTAAATAATAAAAGATGACCTCGGATTATAGAACAAAATTGAGACAACTATGTGTAAAAATTAAATAGTTTAGGCATAACAAGCCATAGCTGGACATGGTCTTTTCTCATAGTAGACAGAATGCATAATATTAAACGTCATCGGACAGTTAAATACATAAAAGTTTGACAAAAAGTAAAAACCCTTTGCAAAACTTTGGAATCTTACATGATTCAGATTTGTAGGTATTACGCTACTGCAAGTAACGATATGAGTATAATCTGCGAAACGATTAATTTTTTCAAGCTGTCAACCCTAAAGTTGTTTTTCTATTAGCATGTAGTTTTTAATGTTCATAGTTGAGTATGATGATCAAAATAAAAGTACATACTTATTAAATACAATATAAGGTTTATTTTACTTTGAAACAAGTACCCTAAATGAATAATTAAAAATGTCCATTTTAATTAGAGAGATGGAATGTACATAAGAAAATAAGTATCTAAGCTTCTTAGAAACGTATCCGATGTACAACAGTAGTTATTGATTACCAACCTACCGCAGTATGTCAATAAGAAGTAATTTATGTACTTTTATAATTTGATAACTTTCAAATACTTTATTTACAATATAGAAAATGTACTAGCTATTATCAATGAACGTTTATTAAATATTTTAGCTATTGAATCTACATGTAGTATAATTTTATACACAGGTCGGCAATTTTGTTCCAAGTAACTATTAAAGAGTTCAACGCTATTCAATGGCCTTATTAAAAATCTCCTGAGTTAAAAATTTATCACTGCTAATAGGCAGTAACAAATTTGGAACTCGCAATTGGCAACAGCTTGGAGTGTTGGACGTGTCTCTATGTCTGAAATATTTAATATTTAATAATTATTATGCCAACTTCTTCAGTTACTACATTTCCTGAAATCAAGAACAGACCTAACTAACACATACCTAGCTAACACAAACTATGTAAACGGGATCCTCAAATTAATGCGCTGTATGCGCAAATTTACTGTAAATATAGGTTATATCAGCCACATCGGAGCGTGTCACCGAAACTTTAATGATTGAGACGTAGGACGATATTATTTTTACTATAGGAATTATTTATATTTTTCTCTTTTTTGATTAAAACAACACACATAATAACAATAATAATATTATTATTATTATATTTACCGAAATTTTTGTTGAATTTTCTGTTACTAACCAAGCGAGCCTAGTAGCGATGTATATTCTAACAACGCTATTTGTCTGGGCAAATTTTTCAATCATTGTATAAAAATTATTCACAGAATAAAATACAACAAACAATTTACAAATTACATTAGTTTGAATAAAACATATAGTACTCGTACAATTCTTTCGCTTTTATGTTCAGATTATACTTTAGTTGATGGATCTTTTATCTGATTGCTTGATGCTATTTGTGTCAAAAAGATGTTTACTATTTATAACAGAAGTTTAACAGAAGTTATAACAGAAGTATAACAGAAGACTGATTTAAAAACTATGATGTCATATTTATGCTATCAAAATAAGAACTCAAGCATTATGTCGTCATTACAAAACTGGCCTCAATTATAACTTTTTTGTTTTCAGAGCGATTATAGCAAGATAATTGAGCGAGCCTAATGTTAAAGAAGGAACAATGGAACCTACGATAAGTCACAACAATTTTACGATTCCATTGTTAGCAATACAAAATCTACTTAGGTTAGATATTATCTAATGTTATCATCCGCATCTGATTCAATCTTTGAATACATTCCTGTTACTGTTATAAAATATCCAAGTAATGTGGTGAAAGTTAACACAGTTCCATTGTTAAGACAATAGTTCCTTTCTTTTATCAAGGATCTTACTTTACCGCCCTTGAAAAATGATTTTATATTAGACCACATACCGTTACAGCCTATCCAAGCACACTTTTGAACATCCTCCCCTATAGATTGCCTCATAGGGTGGATATGTGCCATAGTTGCCACGCTTGGCAAGCGGGTTGGCAACAGCAGTTTTTTATTTTCAGTCATTTTTATTTCTTTATTTATTTCAGAGACAACGGTACGGTAAGATTTTTTTATTTAAGTTATTTTTAATAGAATGGGTGTGAATTGTTATTTTTGTTATTAGGAAGACGCTGGTGCCCATCTCCTGATTCGT